AACAGGCGCCTGCCTTCAGCTTGCTACCAGAGATCGGCTGAGAGCTCAGCAGGGTCCTGGTGCCCTGGACTTTGGCTTTAATCTCGCTCTCTGCTGGTGGAAGGGGTGATGGTGGTGAACAGGAGATAATTAGAAACATCTTCACGTAGCACTTACTAGACACCCAATGCCGTTGTAAGAAACATACAAGTTTTAATTGATGTAATGTCACAGCAACCTTATGCAGTCGTCACCGTCACGATGCCAGATGGGAAAACAGAGGATGGGGTTTGAACCAGGCAGTCTGGCTCCAGACTCTGCTTTGTTAGGCTGTGTTAGGCTGTGGCTCCCAGCCGGCTCTGAGCACAAGCGTTAGGACAGGGCTCGAGAGGACTAAGGAAGGAAAATGGCCAGGAGTCGGCCTCAGACGGGATGTGGGCCCAGGGTGAAGATGGAACCATGGCTGGTGCCTAGAGGTCTTGAGACCACTCACTGGGCCAGTGGAACCAGGAGGAAAGAGGGCCTTGCAGGCTTCGGTCTGGCTGTCTGTGAAAGGGGTTGAGGAACCTGCCTCAGTGGCAGAGAGGGCTGTGTGAAGGTGCTTTGTGTTTTGAAGTGGCTCTGTCAATGGAGCCTGGCCCCACCACCTCCCCACTGGTCCTGCCCACGGTCACACACACATGCTGGTCTCCTCTCTGCCTCTTTTCTGGCTGCCTCTCGGGGCACCCTGCCCTCTGGAGATTTCTTTCTTTGTTATTTCCTCATGAAGCCAAAGGTGGCATTGAAGCCTTCTCAGATCTTTAGAGAGAGAGAGAGAGAGGTAAATGCAGTTCAAGAGATGTAGGATATAGGATGGAAGAATTTTGAAATGCAGATGGGTCGCGCGAGGACTTTTAATNGTAAACGCAGTTCAAGAGATGTAGGATGTAGGATGGAAGAATTTTGAAATGCAGATGGGTCGCGCGAGGACTTTTAATTTTTGTTCCGAACATCTGAGTGCGTCTGTGGGCCTCCTGCCCTACAGAGTAGCGTCTCCCCCATCACAGAGAGGATGTGAGAGCTTGTGGTGGTGGGGGTGCTGCTGCTGTGAGTTTGGGGCAGGCAAGGTGATCACCCTCCGGCCCCACCCCGGCTATGTCACCAAAATAGAAGGGTGAGGCATCAGCCCCTGGGAGGGGCTGGCAGGGAAGCCTTTGAAGCAGGAGGCAGCCTGGGAGGGAAGGCTGAGGGAGGCAAGTTTGTTAATATTCACCCCGCTGCAGCGGTTGCCCTGGGTTTTCTGTTTCCATGGCAGGCAGAGACATCAGCAGCCTAGCTCAGAAACTCCAGGGCCTGGGAGACAGAACCTGGGCTTGGCTCATAACTCACTGGGTGTCACTGGGCAACTCACCCCCTCTCTGAGCCTCAGTTGTCTCACCTGTAGCATGAGTGACTGTGAACCTGAGATCACCTCTCAGGTTCCTTCCTGCTGCAATGTTTGGGATTTACATCCTTGACAACCTGGCCGCCGCCTCCCGCCTCTGCGCACCCCCTTCCTATCTTCTNCTGAGATCACCTCTCAGGTTCCTTCCTGCTGCAACGTTTGGGATTTACATCCTTGACAACCTGGCCGCCGCCTCCCGCCTCTGCGCACCCCCTTCCTATCTTCTGAATGGGGCTTAGGCCTGGGTAGGCCCAGGAAATGTGCTAAGACTGTCTATCCCCCAGGGGAGGACCTTTCCCTCTCCTTCCACCTGGCTAGGGGAGGGGAAGGCTGAGGTGGGGCTGCAGAGTGGGGGAAGCCAGAGCAGGAGCAACTTTTTTTAAACATGTTTTTTTGTATGGATTCCAGAGAGAGAGGAAGGGAGAGGGAGAGAGACTGAGAAACATTGATGTGAGAGAGAAACATTGATTGGTTGCCTCCCCTATGCACCCTGACCGGGACCAAACCCGCAACCTGAGCATGTACCCTGACTGGGAATGGAACTAGGGACCTTTTGGTGCACAGGATGAATTTCAACCAACCAAGCCACACAAGTCAGGGCTGGAGCAGGTGCAATTTAAGGGCAGCTAGTGGGGAGTCCTGGTGCAGAGCCCCTGCTCTGCCGGTTGCCCCGACATCCCTGTGCAGCAATTTCAGCTTCTATTTTAAACAGTTGGGGTTGGTTGCTCCTCTGCCTTCCTGCTGGGTGTTTATAGTGAGGAAAATAATTGGTAATATTTGTACAGATGTGCTGGCACTGCAGCTCATCAAGGGCACCTTTACCCAGGGGACCCTTCCTGCCCCCAGCCTCTCTCTGTCAGCCAGAGGAGCGAGCCTGAATGGAGGTAACCACAAACCCCTGTGCCTCCCAGGAGCCCCAGGCTGTGAGGCACAGGCAGAGGTGGGGAGCAGGAGGCCTTAAGTGCCGCAGGCATATCCAGAGGAGAGCCTCAGCTTGACGGGAAGGAGCCCTGCCTGTGTTGTAGGGGGGACTGAACAGGATGGGCCCTTCCTAGGGGGCTGCAGGAAAGAAGCCCCTAGGAGCTTGTTTCTGATTCCATTTTCTCCTGCAGAGCCTGAATTTGCAGCTGAGGATAAGGGATGGGGGAGGTGAGAAGGGAGAGGGAGCAGGACTGGGGTTGAAAATAGGAAATCACTGGCTTCTCCCTCTTCTGGGGGCCTGGAGCCCAGTTCTGGAGGGTTGAGAGGAAGGCAGAATTGTCCTGGCTGTGAGCACCTGGCTGTGAGCCTGCCCACCTGAGCAGGGCCTGGACTGGAGTACGCACTGCCCACTGTCCATTCCGGGATGCAGCCAGGCTGGTGATGGGCTGACGGCAGATCAGGCAGGCTGGGGAGACTTCTCAGCCTGGCTACCACGTCTTCTTCACCCCTTGAATGTGCATGTGCTGCATGTGTGCACACAGTATTTGTGCATGTGTGGGCTGTCCCCGTGTGTGTGCACATGTGTGCACATGGCTGCACACCTGCGCCTGCATGTGTGTGCACACATGTGCAGGCATATGCACACATACACTAATATATATATATGTGCATGTATGTGTCTTGGTTTGGGTTCCCCCAGAAGCTGACCCAGAGTCAAAGGTACAATTGCAGGTAGTTTCCTGGGAGATGATCCCAGGAAGCACAGTAGGGGAGTGAGGAAAAAGGCGAGAGAGGAAGTCAGCCTCAATGCTCTCAAGCAAATTGCTGCTGTGAGCAACTGAAGCTCAATCCAGCGGGGGAGGCCCCGGAGCCTGTACACACCATGACCATTTCTCCCACACAGAGGGCAGGGAATCTGGGGCCCAGATGTGGGCCTGTCCTCTCAGGAAGGCCGTTGGGGGCCAGTAGCAGCAGACAGACGAAGGGAAGGATGGGACACAGGCCAAAGTGGAGGCAGGCACCAGGTGTTACAGAAATGTTTATTACAAGGATAAATATACACAATGTGGGACATTAAAACTGCTGATGCTGGGACTGTGGGATTTCAAGGGATGCAGGGAATGGAGGGCTGGGTGACAACTGGGGTGAAGGCGGATAGTAGGACAAGGTGGGTCAGTGGTAGAGCCACAGCCCCAGGCTCTTGAAGGGGCCTGGGAATGACCAGGTCCCCAAACATGCACAATGAGGTCTTAGAGCTTGAGCCCCACAGGTTTGCCTTCCAATGTGCTGCTATCCTGTTTGCCTGTATGTTTCTAAAATTCCAGATGTTCCCTAGTGGCTGGGGTGTAGGAGCATCTCTGAGCAGGGGCATCAGCAAAGAAGCCCCAAGGCTGACCAGGGACCCACCACTGCCCCTCAGCATTCAGAGGTGGCAAACTATCATAGGTCTTTGACAGGCCCAACCTCTTTTTCTGAGCTGGTGGAGCCCTCAGAAATGATTGCAGTTTGGTTCCAGCCCACATGCTCTAGGCATAATTCAAACAGCTTGGAGCCTCACCATGGGAGGCACCTGTCACACCCCTGCCTGTGAATACTAAGGGTTATTGGAAAACAAATCCCTTAGATAAATTCTCCTCCTCCTTCTAGACCTTGTCAAAGGGACATCTTCTCCAGGAAGCCTTCCTGAGACCTGCTAGCTGCTCAGTAGTCATGCCAGCCCTGTGTCCCTCCCTCATCTACACCCACTATACTCAGCCAGGGTCTCTCCTTGCTGGTTCCCCAGAGGATGTGAGGCCCTGAGCTCAGTGGTGGGCTGCTGACAGCACTCTCTCTCCGTTTACCTGGAATGGTGCCCTCTCAGGGCCCCCAGGAGGAACCCAGGAAAGGATGGTGAGAGCAGGGACCAGGGGCAGAGACTGGAGCCCCCTGTGGTCCTGCAATATTTCAGGACCTCTGTCATTGTATCTGCCTTTTGTTCCTGCACAGAGAAGCTCCAAGAACCTGGCCTTGGTGCAGAGTTTACATGCCTGGGACTCCTCCATCTAGAATCTATGGTACCTCACAAGCCCTCAGGAGAGAGAAGCACCATCCAGAGCCAGAAAGAGCAAGGGGACCCCTGTGTCTCCATGTATTTCCCTCCTGGCTAGTTGGGGTTTGGGCATCATGAGGCCAGATAGCGAAATTAGGGAAGCTCAGGCTGTCCTCAGTGTGGAGACTCCTATGAGCTGAAGGGACTGAGTCAGGTCCCTGTCCCCAGGTACCCCTTTCCCTCCCTGTAACCTGCTCTTTCTCTGTGGAGGGGTTGGCAGAGTCGGGCAGTGGACTGCCTGAGGGCAGAGACACTCTAGGAAGGGGGCAGAATGGGCTGAGCTCTAAGCTGGCATCAAGCCAGAAGTGGGCTCTGCCTGGTTGGTGTGGTGGGCAGCCCTACCCTCTCCCTCTTCTCAACACAGCCTGGACTGGAGAGTGGTGCCCCTGGCCCTGCTCTGGGGCTAGGGACGTGGGCAAGAAGAAGTCAAGGTTGAGCCCTGCAGGCTGCAGCCCCTGAGGCATCCCCAAACAAGCCCCTCTTGCAGCTCGTCTTCAGGGGCAGGGCTATCCAGAGAGTCTGCAACCTCAAGCCCCGCTGCCCCCTCAGGTGGAGCAGGGGAGTCAGGATGCTAGATCCTACTGGCCACTAGCCATGGCCATTGTGAGACATGTAAGCTGCCAGAGCCACCACCACAGCCACATAGAGACCAGCCCCCACGGCAATGGAGAGTGTGGCCAGGAAGAGGGCCCTGCGGGAGGTGGTGCTGGCCAGGCGGAAGTCCCCCTTGGAGATGGCCTTGCTGGTCTAGGGAGAGAGACGTACTGATGAAAGGGGGCATTCCCATGCCCAGCGAAACAGCCCCAGCCTGCCAGGCCCCTGCCCCCCTCTTGCATATGCTTCTGCCAAGCCTTCCAGTGGAGGAAGATGGCCAGAGAGAAAGGCCTGGGCCCCACATGCTCTTACCCCCTGGGAGAAGTAGAAGGCAGCAATGCCCAGTGGCCAGAAGCAGCAGAGCATGGAGAAGATAGTGAGCCCCAGGTGGTCCCTGGGGGGCAACGTGAGGAAGTTGTCTTCACTCTCACTCTCTGTAGAGGTTGCATCACTCTGCAAAACACAAACCGGGTTTTCCAGGCCCAGGATCACCCGGTGGCAAAGCTGTGGGGCAACGGGGAGTCTCTTCTGCTGTCCAAGGGAGTATGGGTTGGGCTCGGCACTCTCTACCCAAAACCTTAACAATGACCCAGTGATTCCATCTTTAGGAATTTATCACAAGGAGAGAATATAAATACACATGTATAGGCATGCTCAGCATCGGGTAGTAATTGTGAAGGGTTAGAAACAATCACAATGCCCAATGAGTTAATAAGTGATGGAATAACTACTGTGGAATATAATATAACCCTCTAAAATCACCTTGTAAAAAGGTTGAATTATGTGGAGCAATACTGGAATATGTTGCTTGGAGAGAAAAATCAGGTTATAAAACTAGGCACAGCAAGATCTCTCTTGGGGACTAGGATGGGATAAAAACATGAATAAAAAAAGACTAGAAGAGCATATACTAAAATAATAATGTTATCTTCCAGTCGCTTTCTGCATTAACTGTATATTACTTATATAATTAAGAAAACAAGAACAATAAATGCTGTTTAAAAATTAAATAGTCAACCCAAGCTGGTGTTTCTCAGAGTGTGGGTGGCAGTTTTGTCAGAGCACCTTTCTTGGTAACATACAGATCTCTGGACCCCAAGTCAGGCCTAATTAATCTCAACACCTGGTGGTAAGCCCAGGAATCTGTGTTTTAAACACATGTACTCACCTCTTCCTCCTCCTGGTCATCCTCCTGTCCCTGCAGCTCCTCTTGAACCCCATAGGACACAGTCTGGATGGTGACATCCTCTTCTGCTTGGCCAGGCTCTGGGGACCACTCTGCTGGCCCAGCCTGAGGCTCCCTGCTCTCTGTGAAGCTGGTCTCACAGCTGCCCGCCTTGGGCTCCTTGGCCTTGTCCCGCCCCAGGAGGCAGCTGGGCCTGTACCAGGCCTCCACGGCCAGCTGCAGGGACCCCGGGTCCAGGAGCTGGTGGGCGCGAGCGGGGTCAGCACCTCCCAGGAGGAAGGAGTAGAGCTTCTCCTGGCAGGACCAGCTGGGGGAGGCCTCGGGGTAAGGGTAGGGGCCGCCGAGGGGCGCCGGGCTCCGAGGCAGCAGCGGGTTCTGCAGCTCACTCAGACTCTCCATGGCTCTGGGAACGGGAATCTGGGCCAGCGGAGCAGTCCTCAGAGAGCCTGCTGGGGGCACGAGACAGACAGACACCGGACGCAGGGCTGGAAGCGGTTAAGAGCAAGGGTTCTGCAGGCCGACTCGCCCCAGAGCCTGCCTTTACCGCTGGCCAGCTGTGGGACCTTGAGTTGGCTACTTAACTTTTCAGGGACTTCTCCATTTCTTTGTCTGTGAATTGGGAATGACAGCTGTGTCTACTTCATAGAATTGGTTTGGTCATTTATTTAGTCAATACATATCTATTGAGCATCAGCTCTGTGTCAGGCACTGTACAGAGGCTGGGATATGATGGTGAGAGGCGGGCAGGGGAGGAAGAGGGGTGCACACTTTTTCTTCATGGAGCTTACAGGCTGGTGGAGAAGACTGCTGCCCGCAGAAGTACAGCAGGGGGTGTGAGAAGGCGTGATGGACTCACACAGAGGAGCAGGGAAGGCTTTTAAGCTGAGATCTGAAGGAACAGGACAAGTAGACAAGGGGAGGGGTGGGGAGCACATTTCATGAGGAGGCCAGATAAAGGATGGCAGGTCTGAGAGCCTGGAGAAGGCCAGTGTGGTTCAGGGTACAGAGGGAGGTGGGAGATGGGGTGCGGGGCCAGACCATGGAGCCATGCTGGGGTCCAAGGGGCTTCACAGGTCTTGCAGGTGTGACAGGATAAGATGTGGATCCCGAAGCCTTTCCACACCTACATGTGGGGAGTGGCTTGGAGAGGGCTGGGCTGGCTGTGATGTCAGCTAGGAGGCTTAGCTATGGCTTCAGGTCAGCTGAGGACAACTGGGACTTAAAGAAAACAGGACCAGCCCTGGCTGGTGTGGCTCAGTTAGTTGGAGCATAGTCCCATACACTCAAACATGGTGGGTTCAATTCCCAGTCAGGGCACATACCCAGATTGTGGGTTCCATCCCCAATTGGGGCACAAGTGGGAGACAACTGATTGATGTTTATCTCTCACATTGATGTTCCTCTCTCTCTCCCCCTCTCTCTCCCTCCCTTCTCTCTAAGATAAATTTTAAAAAATGCTTACAAAGAAAGAGAGAAGGACGAGCCTTGGGAGATATTGACAGGACTTGGTGGCGGGTGGGATACTGGGTTGAGGGAGGATTTGTTCTAGGGTTGGATGGATGAGACCATACTCAGCTCACATGTCACATGCTCACCGTTGTCAGCTCTTCGGGGGGAGGGTGCTTCTCCCCAGGTATGGTCTCAGGTGGATGCACCTTAGGCTAACCCCTCTAAGGTAAATTTTGACTTTGGGAAGTTCCTGTGGGATCTAAGGCAAGGCCTCCTGGGTGCTGAGATCTGGACTTGCACATCCTAACTGCAAGCATAGACACATTCAAAAGCTGGAGTGTAGACCCTCTTAAGGGCTATCTCTTCCTCCTTCAGCCAGCCCTGAGCACCTACTGTATACCTGGGAAGGGCACACAACAGATACTCAGGGCTGGCTGAAGGAGGTTAAGGCAGTCCTTTAGTGTGTCTACCTCAGACCCACATAGCGCTCTGGGACACTTCAGGTAGAAAGAGATTATGGAGAGAGAGGATGGACAGGCCAGGTGGCCTCAGGGAATACTACTAGGCCATAAATAGAAGGAAATTTTACCTTTTTCGACAGCATGGATGGACAAAATAGAAACAGACTGAGAAACAGACAGAGAGCAGACTGACAGCTGTCAGAGGGGGCTGGGTGAAAAAGGTAAAGGGGTTAAGTAAAAGAACAAAAAACTTCTAGACACAGACAACAGCTTGGTGATTGCCAGAGGGAAAGGGGGGTGAGGGAGGAAGAAGAGGGTACAGGGGGATAAATGGTGATGGAAGGAGACTTGACTTTGGGTGGTAAGCGCAGAATACAATATACAGATGATGTATTATACAATTGTACACTTGAAAGCTATATAATTTTATTAACCAACGCCATCCCAATAAATTCAATAAAAATTTTAAAAAAGAGAGAGAGATGGCAAGATGCGAGTGTGGTATGAATTATGAGTGGGAGGGGCCGCTTGAACTTGGCCGAAGCTTCAGTCTTCTCCCACTCAGGCTGTTTCTGGCTTAATGGTAAAGGGAAAAGTGGGAAAGATTTCTGCCCCCAGGGCTGGATTTATCTAGTGCCCCTACCCCGTCTATTCCCCATCAAGAATTCAAAGTTCAGCAAAGGGCCATTTTTACTTCTGGCCCAAGAGAAATGACTGGATTGGAGAAAGCTGGTTCTTGGGAAACCTGAAGACAGAGCATGGCTCCAGGAACAATGCTCAGGGGAAGGGACAGAGTGAGGGGAAGGGAGAGGCCGAGCGTTGAGAGGGTCCTGGGGCACCGGGCTCCTGGGCTGGCCTGCTGTGAGGGAGGGGAGTGAGCTGCTGCCTGCTGAAGGCAAAGGAGCAGGAAGGGGCTCTGAGCCCCTGAGAGGTGTGGCCTCTTCAACAGCGAATGCTGGAGGGGCGCAAAGAAGAGCAGGTGGCCCAAGTGTCCAATTCTTCATCCAGGGAGGGGACACATGGTGCTGGAGACACTGGGCTGCCATCCACCTGGGGGCTTTGTTGGTGGATTGACCAGCTGCAAGTTCCACTTGGGCTGTCACCAGCTGTAGCAGGAGCTTCTCCACAGCAGAGATGGGAACACAGGCTTGGGCAGATGAATGCCTCCAACTCACCCCTGCCCTCTGCCCTGCTGCACCGGGGCAACTCACCTGTCCAGTCCCCCGGAAGGAAAAGAACGATGCTTGTGGCCAGGAATCAGGCCCTGGAGCTCTGGAGACTGTGAGGACACTTGCAGGGCCCTTGTCCAGGGCAGGCAGGGGCAGCTGGGTTCCAGCTCACCCTCCTGCTTTTGCCAACCACCCTCTTTTGGTAAAAATGTACCCAGCTAAGTTTCTGGAACCCAAGACACACAGCCTTTCCTGACTGTGCCGTTAGGCAAGGCCTCTCAGCACTTCATTGTACAAGGATGTATGATTCTGGGTTTTCTACAATAGGGATAAACTGAAAGCCACTGAATGTCCAATAATCGGGGACAAGTTAAATAAGTTATGGTACAACAGTACAAGGTGGTACAAGGCCTTCAAACAGGTTTACAAAGAGGAACGACAGGAGAAAGTGCTCGCTGAGGATTCAGTGAGAAGGCAGGAAAGAAAACGGCATGTGCGTGTCATCTCAACCCCAGCAAAATGTCAACGGCGATTATCTCCAGGTGTAGGAGCACAGGTGTCTTTTCCATTTTCTTTTTTACACCATGGTTTTTCAGTTTTCCACATTTATTTTTTACGATGAGCATGTACTACTTTTAAACCAGAACAAATTAAGTGCATAGATTTCTTCTGAACCAAATTATCTAAAATCGGTTTAAAACTTCCCCAGGCCAGAGGGTTCCTTCTGGGTTTAAAGGCTGAGCACAGCATCAAAGCCTACCCGACACACACACACACACACACACACACACACACACACACACACACACACACATCTTCACTTCCATAAAGCAACCAAATTAGGGGCTGCAGCACCTGCTCATAGCGGCAGCCAAGGGTCACAGTTCTCTAACAGGCCGTGTTTTCCCCATAACCTGCTAGGGCCACACAGGAGTTCACTGAGCTGATCCCAGGGACCCAGCACTGAGCTCTGGCCAGAAGGAAGGGGTAGCAGGTCCCCAGGGGCAGCCTTCTCTGCTCTTGGCCTGGCCTGATCTCTTGGCCTGTTGCTTCGGGCAGCTTCTCCCTGTTCCCTGGAGTAAGAGACCAGTTTCGAAGCAGACCCACTTTCATCTCCACCTCTGCTACCTGGTCCCCCTTGGACTGTGTGTGCCTACTGTGCGTGCAGTATTGTGTGCCTGCTTACTTGCTGGTGAGCATGCCTGTGTGTGTGTGTGTGTGTGTGTGTGTGTGTGTGTGCGCGCGCACACGTGTATACTCTGCCCCAGAGGACAGACTTGAGATATCTGGGATTCCGAAGCTAAGAACATAGCTCCAAATTATGCATTTGGGGCTAGAAGTCGGTCCCACCAAAGGAGAGGGAGAGATGAATCTGTGAGGCCACAGCCCCTGGCTTGTTTTCTTTTGAGCTGAGAACTGAGCTGGGGATGGAGGTTTCCCTGTCCCTGATTTGGGGATGGAGAGCACACTGCCACCTCTCAGACCAGGGACAGGAAGCCATCCAGAAGTCCACTAGAATCCAATTATAACCTCCCCCAAAAGGCTGATTGCACAGAGTCCAATCATAATACAATGTAACATCAGTTTGCTTATCTATAAAATGTACAGAAAGGGTAGAAGGTGTTGATTCTTAACAGCTCTGCTCAATATAACCCTGGGATTCTACTGGGAGGAGAATAACTTAACACTTATTGAGCTTTTTGCCATGTGCCAGACACTCAACTGTTCTTAATGCTCATTTTGACTCTAATTCTAGTGGGAGAGTAGAAATAGGATGGGGGCTTTCTTTTCCAGCTGCAGCAGACAAACTCATGTCACACCAAACCTGTCAATAATAGCTAGAAAAGCTACGGGGAAATATAAGGGCATTGAAGAATCACCAAGGGAGCAAGAACTTGAGGGGTCAGGGTGCCAGGACCCAAGAGGAAAGAGAAACACGGAGAGGTGAGCCTGGCCCTTGGCACCACTGCCCTTCTTCGAGCAGCATCAGAAGCGGGGAGAAAAACTGGAGTTCAGGGCCTATGAAGGAGGAGGGACCCCAGAAAACAGCCCCAGTTTTTAGCCTCTTTAGGGCTACCCCTCTTTCTGGTAGGAGCAAACCAGAAACCAGACAGAAAGCAGGCTTTGAATTAGCTTCATCCCTAATTGGAGTAAGGTGATCTGCACATAGCCTGGCCTCCTGCCAGAAGCAAAAGTTGTCTCAAGGCAATGGTTCTCCTTTTAACATGCATCAGCATCCCCTGGAGGACTCCTCAGACCCAGACTACTGGCTTCCACCCTACAGTGGATGATTCCGGGATGGGCCTGAGCATGCACATCT